TATGTGTATATATAATTAAATTTGAATATTTTGTTCTCATAGTAGTATTCAATTTTATAATAATTCTAAAATTAATTAAAATTATCAATAAATATAATTTTAAATACAAATATTAAAACATAATTTATACATTCATAATTTATATGATAATATTAATTAGATATTTATCAAAATTAATCAAAATTATAATTAATATTACAACAATAATTATAATATTTAAATAATACTTCAATATAAGATATAGTTAAACATTTTGTCTTACAAAAAGGATTAACGTTTTCATTATTGTTAACTTTTGATCATATCATAAACGAAAAATGAAAAATCGATCTATATAAACAAATGTTAATGAAAGTATAAAAATTTCAAAATACTTTATAAGAAATAGCGAATCAAAGCACAGAATTGCTTATCAGCCGTATGTTCAGTAAGCATATAGAAATAGGAAGGACATACCGGTAAAAGAAAGGTGGGGGAGGGGAGAGGCGTGCAGGAAACGCTACTGTCAGTTGGATTGGTGTTTTGTCCCGGCGCGCCGAGTGATCATTTGAAAAGGAAGGACCACCTCTGTTCACCATATTTGGCAAACTTTCCCTAATATGGTAACGTCTACTTCTAAATATGGCAGCCGGGGACGCCCTCTCGTTGATTCTTGTACCACTCCGCGCAATCTTTTTGCCGTAAATTTTGGAATATTCAAGTCACGCACAAGATATTTATCGGTGAATCCAAAATCTCCAGGATAATTTTTATTTTTCTACGAAGAAATTTTTAAAGATCTTCTTCCAGGAAACTCTATTTCGATTGAGTGGACTACTTTTTTACCGCGTACGTAGAAATTGGTGGGGGTAACAGCTGCGCAGAAACATACGGAGGCACCGTGTTAGCACGTAGGTCAAGTTACGATACTCTGCGCGCATTCAGTTCGCGGGGAGCGCTCGTGCAGTGCGCGTTGTTGTCCCGTGTTCCTCTAGATGGTTGATCACGTGGGAAACATTGCGCCGAGTTTTCGCGATTCCGTGGCGGAGAAGGGCCGAGGGAAAGGGAATAAATGTGTGCGAGTCCGTAATGGACAACCCTAGCGGCGGAAGAGATAGTCGGTACGCAAGTCTTGGATACAGCATGGGGATGATAGGCAGCGACGCTGGCTCGGAAATGTACGGCCGACCGTCCACCTCCCAACTTACAACTTCTCAAATAAGCCGCGGTGGCGCCACCATGATGGCCGCGGCAGCCGCTGCAGGCGCACCGAACGCCGGCGTGGGATCTGTACAAAGGGGTATCAAGAGGACCACTTCGGACGTTTGTTACGATGACAGCAATGCACGGCAAGCTCTTTCGCAACAACAAGGCATGTCAATGTCTACTGATTGTGTTCCTGATAATCTTGAGGAATCATTTACAAGTTTGGGTCAACCGAAAAAGTCACCTCCATCAAATGGTAAAAAGACCAAAGGACGGGTCAAAATTAAAATGGAGTACATCGATAATAAACTACGAAGGTACACTACCTTCTCCAAGAGGAAAACTGGAATTATGAAGAAGGTTCGTATTCGGCTAACTTGTCAGTTTATTTTTTGTTAATATAAACACAGTGTATTGGATTCGTTGATAATCAATCAATTAAATTATCATTGAAATCAATTATCTAGTGTGATTATTAAATGTTGTATAGCCAATGTGATGTTTCAAGTGTATTCATATAAGATAAGAAAATACATAGAACAAGCTGCAAATGAAAAGTTAGCTTTCACATGTGACGCATAAGAACAAAGAGAAACGTGTACTATCGATGTGTGGTTGCGTGGATTGCGCAAATCAAACATATGCCGATGACTTTTGCGAGCGCGCGATTTATGAGTGACAATTGTGCTTTCGCTATCGTGCATTTGTACATCAATAATGTATTTGTGTATTTTGGATTAAAATACACTGAACAAAACAATCGCACGTTAATTATGTCTTTGATATTACAAAAACGAATTCGTAAGAAATTTTAATAATCATTATATGATTTCTTTTACGAATCAACTGTAATTAATTTTATATTATTTATATTTATATAATTATCATTTGATATTGTATGATATTATATTTAAAAGTTATAATTATATGATAAAATTTTATGTTTGTTAGAAAATTATATAATTTTTCGTTCCTTTTTTATATCAAAATTTTGTTTTCTGAATCAATTCTATGAATGATTATAATGAATTATTTATAATAATATAGATAATATAGATAATAATATAGATAATATAGATAATAATATAGATAATATTAATATAGATAATAATATAGATAATATTAACATTGTATTTTATATTTCAGTAATGAATATTTTTTCATTATAAAATATCTTAATATTTATGTTTATTTAAGTTTTAATTTTGTTTTCATTATTAATGATTAGAATTTTATTTTCATATTATTTTCATATTAACAAAAATAATGCTCAAGTATAAATTAATGTTTTTTATTTAAAAAGAAAAAGAAAAAGAAGAATAATTTAATAAATATAATATCAAAAATAATTTGAAATTTTTTTTCGTGATAGATTTTTTAATTTTAACGTCAATTTAATTACATTACATTTGTTTGTTTGATCAAAACGCCGGTGTTTCTAAATCCGTAGAAGAACCTAAGGCAAATTGTGCATCTTTCATACGAATATAGAAAACCAAAGATAGATTGTTCCCCTTTTCTAAAGACGGGACTCTATAATTAGCTATGTTTTGACACGAAACTGACATAACTGTTTTATAACTTCATGAGAGAAATTAAAATTTAAACGAAATTCAAAATAAACAATGGTATTATGTAATCAACAGTATAAATTTAAATATTAAAATTTAAATTTAAGTAGTATTAAAAGAATTACATACTGCCAACAAAATTTTGATTTTTTTACTTTCAAAGATATAAAAATATATAATTTTGAGATAAAGAAGTAAAAATCTTCTTTAATTTTAAAAATATTTGTATAGCAAGCTCTTTCTTCATCTGTATATATGTATATCTATAGTAACATGTCATAAAGTAATAATTAAATTTTTTTGTGATTATCGATCGATTTTTTTATATTTATCAATCAATAATTAAAGATACATAATAATAGGAAAATGAATTGTATGAATATAAATTTAATAATACAAATCTGCTTTTTAAATTTTAAATACGATTTAGATATGATAAAAACTACATTGAAAATGAAAATAAAATATAATTCTAATTTCACTTTTTTTACTTATGATATTTATAGATAGAATAAATTTAAAAGATTTTAATTACAAATTACAAAAAATGACTAGAAGATTATTCAGAATTTCATTGCAAGTTATAAATACTATTTATTTTTATTTTACATAATATTTTGCAGAATACTTTCTTCAACTGTAAATAGCTGGCAATATTCTAATCTAAGTTAAATACAACGATTTCATAACTTTTCACTATGTTTATTCATCTTCGTGCCGCAGTGCTGTTCTCCCTCGAGCAGTAAGTTTCTTGTTAGCAAATTGAATTTTTACAATTTATATTCAATTTAAATATACAATGTAGGTATATTGTCATGAGAATTTCAGCTTTTCTATTAAAAAAAAAAAAAAAAAAAAAGAAGGACTTCGATAAACCTTGATAATTATGTTATTATGAGATATCTCTAAATATAAAGAATCACATATGTATTTAGAATTTTCATCGTATATTCTTGTTTTCAATTAATATAAAAATCATGGTATTGATGATTGCGCAGGCGATTATGATTTACATAAGTGCATTTTATATCGATCAGTGATATTCTAGTGATATACGTCGACTATTCAAATTCATACATTCAATGAAAAAGTAATAATACTTTTCATAAAAAGATTTGAATTTAATGAATGAATATAAGTTTCATAACTGGCTTTCTGCTTCGAGTAGATGTCTTGATAACTAATTACAATATATATTATCTGTTCAAAAAGAATCTGTTCACGATTCAATATTTAAAAATTTTAAACATCTTTCGTGAATTAAAATTATACACGATTGTTCACACGATTTTAAAATCGCTTTCAACCGAGCTGAATAAACGAAAATCAAAAAAGCGAAAGAGATGAGAATAAAGGGGGGAAAAAAAGGAAAGAAGAGAAAAGCTCAAATAAAATATTTCGTTAATACTCGATTGAAATATACGAGTCGAGAAAAATCCCGAGACATCCCTAATTAATCGTTATCTTTGATTGCAGGCGTACGAGCTGTCGACATTGACAGGTACACAAGTGATGCTCCTCGTAGCAAGCGAGACCGGTCATGTGTATACATTCGCGACACGAAAACTGCAGCCGATGATAACGAGCGAAGCCGGGAAAGCGTTGATCCAGACTTGCCTGAACAGCCCGGACCCGCCCGCCTCCGGTTCCTCCGGTGACCAGAGGATGTCCGCGACCGGGTTTGAGGAGACAGAATTGACCTACAACATAGCGGACGACGAGCAGAAAGTAAGGCAACTGGTGTATGGCTCGCCGCACGGTGGCTCGCTGCACGGCGGATATCCTGGTGGCGGGCCGACCGGAGGTCCTCCTGGCCATCCGCCACCCCCGCCGCCGCCACCGCCGCCGGGTTCGCAGCACGCGCCACCCTCGCACGCGCAGCACGCGCACCTGATTGCGCATGCACACGCGGGCTCGCCGAGCTCGCACCTGGTACCCTGTTCCAGTCCTGGGCCCATGTTAGCCGGTGGCCCCTATCAACAATCCTGTCCCTCGCCTCTGCCACCCCATCACGCCGCCTACCATCCTC